ACCTCTTAATACATTGACAATTGAGTTTCAACACATGAATTTGAGGGGGACACATTCAAACCACAGCAGCTATTGTACTAAAGCTTCATATATTCTGCCATAAATTTCATTAGCTTGAGGCAAGGTTCAGAAGAGAGAAATGTGCACTCTTGGCAGCTACAATGACATGGCTGAGAGTGCACACATCAAAGCTAGTTTTCCTGAGTTCAGACTGTGACTTGTCACTTAGTACCCATGTGCTTTGGACAAGTGACTTGACCTCTCGTTTGATACTGATTGATGTGCCCCATCAGTAAAACAGAATGATATAATGGGACCTACCTCCACAGTGTTGTTATAAAGATTCAGCAAGTTAATGCATGTACAATATTTAGAACAGTGTCTGGCACTCAATAAATGTTAAGGTATTTGCACTTTAAAGTATAGGCTTAATCTCCACGAAGGTCAATAATTCATTTTATATATCCAATCCTCTGCATTCCCCCTGAAAGGCCTATCTTATGTGACATCTCTTTATTATATATGTATCAATTTTGGTTAGAAATACTGTGTAATTGGCTGGGTGCAGTGGCTCACACCAGTAATCCTAGCACTCTGGGAGGCCAAGGCAGAGGATCCCTTGAGCTCAGAAGTTGGAGACCAGCCTGAGCAAGAACAAGACCTTGTCTACAAAAAAAAAAAATAGAAAAATCAGCCTGGCGTGGTGGTGCGCGCCTGTAGTCCCAGCTACTTGGGAAGCTGAAGCAGGAGGATTGCTTGAGCCGAGGAATTTGAGGTTGCTGTGAGCTATAATGACGCCCATTGCACTCTAGCCGGGGCAACAGAGCAAGGCTCTGTCTCAAAAACAAAACTGTATAATTGTTTCGTATGCTTTGTAAATATTATAATAAATTCTGACATATCTTACACTTGAGACATTGACTAACAATTGAGAGCATTAAGTGTTATTAAGTTTCATTATCCTATTTTATGGTTTCATCAATGTGGATTTTAGTTTAATTTAGCACAAAGTAAGTGTTCAATAAATATTGTCCATTTAAACTTACGTAGAGTATCTTCTAGTATGTTACATGTAAAGGTTGAAGACAGAAAGATGAAACTCAATCTTATTTGCTAAATATCTTCTTAGGCACTACAGTAATCTACTTTCCTTATGCTATCACCAAAATAATGCTGGAACAAGAGAACTCAGAGATTATTTGATTTTGGTGATATTTTTTTCTTTATACTCCCTGTACCTTAAAAAATTATTTAAAGCAGTTTACTATTGAAAGACACAAATACAATAAGGCTAATAAAAATGTTTAAAAGTGAGAAGAATTAGATTAAAAATCTAGTTAAGTTTTTTTTACCATTAAATATAACCCTGGAGCTTCTTAACAATCAAGGCAGAAATAAAACATACTGTAATTCCTACTGCCTGATTAAAGGTAATAAATTCAAAGAGATATTTATCTACTATTATCTTAAGCTAAGAATATAGATCTACATAATGAGTGACATTTTCAAGAATATGTTTATGGGGGATGTAGATAATTATTAATGATAATAGCTTATATTTATTATGTATTTATACTAATATAATCTTAAAGTGAATCTTACAAATATTTTAGTATGAATTTTATACTAAAACCTTTATCAGAGCTGAGACTAGAATACTGATTTGCTAATACCTAATTCAGCAATTTTTTCATTTTCTATTATACTATCCTATGATTACCATACATGGAAGGTAATTTAACCTTGGAATTACACACACACATGCACATACATGGGTAAAGCTTCCATACTGCACATAACACATATACACACATACACTTTTATGAGTACCAACAATCCACTCAAACAAGAGATGAGTCCTTTCAGTAAGTAAAAAGGATTCTGTTAATTAAATTATTAAATTCACACAGCATGTGTCAAGCTGATGATCTTCTAAATTTTGGGTTGGTTATCCTTGTCTATTTCTTGTGGTCCATCACAGTATGATTTTTCTAGGTTACATGATCTCTATGCATCCGTCAATGCAAAGGACAATAAAATAAAATGCAATTCAGCCTACAATAAAAACAAATCTGAGATTTCAATTTAATATCAACCATGAAAAATCTGTATCAATATAACAAAAATATAATTTATTCCTATTCTCCTTTTACAACATGTATTAAGCTCTGAATGCTAATAATTCTCTTAGAGCAAAACACAAAGCCTGGATGGAAAACAGCCAGCCTCGGGGGTATAGTAACACCACTAGCTTTCAACCCGTCAGAAAGAACAATAATAATACACGGTTGGCACACTTAGAAGACAAGGAAACACACAACCTTTTTTTCTTTTAGTTACCTGACAAATCTGAATAAATATATTCATAGGCTAGATTGCCTTGAGCTATCGTACATCAAAAATACATAAATTTGGATGTAACAAGTTATTCTCTCAGTGCAAATCAACTACTGAAAATGCACTGAAACTGAAGGATTATAACCAAATGATTTATTCAGGAGATACGGCGCTTATAGCAATTCCCCAAATCATGAGCCTCATGATCCCCCTTTCCTCAGCCCAGGCAGGCCAAAATATCTAAATCAGTGGTTTTTAAAATGTGGTTTGCAGAGCAGCACCTGGGAACTTGCCAGAAATGCTAATTCATGGGTCCCACCTGGACCTACTGAATCAGACTCTCTGGGGATGGGCCCAGGGATCGTGTTTTGACGAGTTTTATGATTCTAATGCTTCCTAAAGTTTGAGAACTGATCTGAATTAGTTCAAAACTTTTTCCTTTGCTGCCTCAGTTCATTTCTAACCTACATCCTGATTCTTAATTAACTTCTGCTGCTTATCATCACTCTACTTATTGGAAAGGCCCTCGGGCACAGCCATGTAAGGATGTTCCGTCCATCACCACTGCCTTGACTCACACAGGAAAACATCTGCGGATTCCTTGCCCTTTCCTCAACCTTTGCTGCTCTTTCCTCAGCTGCAGCTGACACGCACAGTGTGGATGTTCAGCTTTCTGAAGATCCACCCAACTGGCCATCAAAACTGCTTGACTCATTTTCCCAGTTCTTCTCCATAAACTGCCTGCATGCATGTGCACACAGCCCTCATGTTGCCTGTATCACGCCCTGTCTGCCAACTTGCACATAATCCTGCTGTTTGTGTCTACTGAGGGTGCCCCCTGCAGATAGATGGTCAGTACCTTGCTGAATCCAGAATGGTGGGCTATGGCACGATATGACCTTTGGTCCGCTTCCACAGTGGATGCTGATCACACAGAGAAGCCTGGACTTTGGAAGGGTGAATGGCAATTGCTTAGGAGAAGGAGGAACTAGTACCCCAAAGGGTAAGCAAGTGGTGGCAAAACACCAGCACATAAAGATATAACAAATAAAACTGGAGAGCAGGGCCGGGCGCGGTGGCTCACGCCTGTAATCCTAGCTCTCTGGGAGGCCGAGGCAGGCGGATTGTTTGAGCTGAGGAGTTCAAAACCAGCCTGAGCAAGAGCGAGACCCCGTCTCTACTAAAAATAGAAAGAAATTAATCGGACAACTAAAAATATATAAAAAAAATTAGCTGGGCATGGTGGCGCATGCCTGTAGTCCCAGCTACTTGGGAGGCTGAGGCAGTAGGATCGCTTGAGCCCAGGAGTTTGAGGTTGCTATGAGCTAGGATGACGCCACGGCACTCTAGCCCGGGCAAAAGAGTGAGACTCTGTCTCAAAAAAAAACAGAAAAAACAAACAAACTGGAGAGCAGCTTTGTTTTTAACAATTGTTCACATTGGAGAGGAATGAGGATACCCTGGCATCCTGAGAACCATCTCACATTCTCCTTAGTATCCAACGCTAACTCACACTTGGTTGGCACCTTTCTCTGCCTCCAGAAGTCATATTGCTGTCTTTGGGCATGTCCAAAGATAATGAGATAAGTAAAGCAGAAACCTTACTGTCAATATTTATCCAGTTCATTACAATATGGATGCGTGTAAACGTAAATTATTTATTAAATTTCAGTAAATTTTGGACAACTTGTATCTCATAATAATGGAACCCTATTTGTAATATGTCACTAATTTGAAGAGAAAGATATGAGTGGATTACTTCTTCTATTTCACAATACTGAACACGTTTTTCATTCCATATATGTCTATTACTGAAATGCTCATTTAATGAGCCTGCTTGGCCCCTGCTGGTCAATCACCGCTGCACTGGTGTAGGAGCTAGAGGACACCTGCGCCTCTTCTGCAGCTTTCATATAAAAAAGTGGAGTGAGTGATTTAATACAAAGTTTCTACAAATGCTCTCAAAGGGGTTTGGTGGATGAAGCTGCTTTTGGCTATCTCTGTTCCCAACACTACATCTCCAGCAAAGAATGACTCTGCCAGTCCAGAAATGACATGGCATGAGATGCTGCCCTGGAAAAGCTGATGAGAAACAGTGAGTTCGGTGGACACTCACAGACAGACTGGGACTCCTGACCTAATTCATACCAGCTATAATTTGCTGCCTTCTCTTTAAGTAGAAACAGAGTTTAGGGATCTGCATCGCCAGACTCTAAGACCCCTCAGAACACTCCCCTGGGTCTCATTCGCCAATGAGAAGAGTCCTGGGCTAACACTACTGTCATTTTGAATTAGTGCTGATATAGAGCACTGCAACCAACCATTCTTCTCCACGTCATATTAAAACACGTAATGGGAAGAGGAAGTGCGAAGGTTGCTCTATTTTTTAAACACCTTTGCAGAAACAGCAAGGCCAATTCTCAAGTTCTCAATACATAAAAACTTTAATTCTTAAAAACTAGTAAAAGGGAGAAAAGCTTATCTCAGAACAGGCTGACATTTCACTAAAAAAGGCAGAAAAATTGCTAGCATCAGCATTATGTGCTTCCTGCTTAATATAGCTCCTCTGATTAAAGCAAAAGTGTTACTGCTCTCTCCCACACAGAGAACGTTATCTTATTTCTCTCTCCCACAAATCTCTCGCAGGGAATTTGTCTGTTTACCTCCTTCAGATCCTGCACGACAGCGGTGAGCCTCTCGTTTTCTGCCTGGACGTTAGTGACCACAGCCCGGCTCTGTTTCAGCTCATTCTGCATCTCCAAGATCTTCCCCAGATAGTAAGCTTCCTTCGATGCTGACTCCTGCAGAAGTGTCTCCTCTCGAGTCTCTCCATCCTCAGCAACTTTCCGGTGGATGGAGAAGGACTGCCCAAATGCCTGCAGAGTATTTGGAAAGAAAAAGAGTGCACAATGAAATGCCCCATAGCACGATTAAGTAGACTTGGGAAAATATTTTGTTTTGCCTTGTGTGTAAGAAAAGCTACCCTGCCAAGACCTCCAGAGCACACATATACATACTTTATGGCAGTCTACAGCTCTCATTGATGCTGAAATGATTCAAATTCAACTAATAAGGAAAAAGAACATTTTTAAATATCTTACAAAAAAATTATAATGATACTACTATTTATCCATAATAATTTAAAAAATTTTTTTAAAAGATATAATGAGTTAAAGCTTGAAAAACATTGCTACTTGATGTTATCATTTTTTATTATTTATTTATTTAGTTTTGAGACAGGGTCTCACTCTGTCACCTGAGCTAGAGTGCAGTGACATCATTGTAGATCACTGCAACCTGAAACTCCTGGGTTCAAAGGATCCTCTTGCCTCAGCCTTCTGAGTAGCTTGGATTATAGGCGTGCGCCACCCCACCCAGCTAATTTTTCTATTCTTTGTAGAAACAGCATCTCACTCTTGCTCAGGCTGGTCTCGAACTCCTGGCTTTAAGAGACCCTCCAGCCTCAGCCTCCCAAAGTGCTAGGATTACAGGTGTGAGCCACCATGCCTGGCTATATTATCATTTTTTAGACAAATCCTATCAAGAAGTAGACAGTTCCGTGCTAATGAGCCCATCAAAATTCATGTCGTCATCGTCATTCTAGAAAAAAAATCCCATAAATATTTTATAAAAAGAAAATAGTTTAGTTTTTTAATACATTAGTAATAAGGACAGACCAATTATGAACAGCACCCTTAAGATTGATGAACTACCAAACAGCATTTAAATTGCCCAATAACACAAAAAGACATTGACATGCCATCTCTGTATAAGAAAACATACAGGTGTCTATTTATTCATGTGGAAAGAAATATAAGAGAATAAACCAGAAACAAGGAAACCGATCACCTGTTGGGGTGGGTGGAAATGGGTGGAAAGAACGGGGGAATGAAACGTGATGGAGAGGATGAGGTGAAGGGACACTTTTCTGAGTATGCCTCTTCATACAGCTCTGACTCTTAAACTATAGTCATGTTTCATATACCCCCCCAGATAAGTAACAATTAAAATCAACCTCTATGTGTTGGACAAACCCCAAATGGAACAAAAACAGTAACAAACGAACCTGGCTGTATTACAAATGAACAACATAACACAGTGAAAGGGGTAGGAAGAAAAGATCTGACCTGAGTAATTTTGGAAAATCGTATTTTTACTACATGCTGGAAGGCTAAAGACAAAAAGGACAGTACCCAAACACTATAGTAACTTTGTTTCTTACAGGGATTGTGAGATCGAAATTCTGAAACTTCTTTACATACATACTAGGGTTGAGCAAATAAGTAAACAGTGGATAATGAAAACCAGGTTTCTTGCTGTTGGAGAAAGTCACAAATAAGGAAAGGAGAAATTTAGAAGGAAACTAGTGGTATTGGGTTGTAATTGGAAGTATCAGGATAAACTTACTGTTTTTAATAGGTAGATAAATATTCATAGATAGAGGAGAAAGAGATATGTTCATGTATGTGTATATATACATATTATGTGTGATACACACACACACACATATTCCCCTGCCCTGTCAGCTGAGAGGGCCTAGAAACAATGACATACTAGTAGCAATGAGCATATCTTGCACCCAGACTTTGTTTCTAAATATTAATCTTCAATAAAAATAGCTAGGGCTCTTTGGAGAAATGACTGACTTTAGGGCTGGAGCAGAATGAACTTGACACATCTTGTGGTACCAAAGAGTAACAAAATGCTTAAAAAAATGATGGGGGTATGTCAACAGGACACAGGAAGCTGGGTATGGTGTTACACTCCTGCAGTCCCAGTGATTCAGGAGTCTGAGGTGGGAGGATCACTTGAGCCCAGGAGTCAGCGTTCAGCCTGGGCAACATAGACCCTCGCTGTCTCTAAAAGAAAAAACAAACCACAAGAGCCAAACTGCTGACGGGGCTCCCCAATGGCCAAATCTGGGATAATCTGAGCAACAAAGTGAACAATTACAGTAATGGATTATAATCCACAGAATAAAATAAATATTCATGAATCCACATTGATAAAATGACTGAACAATGGAAAAAGAAAGAACAGCTCTTCCTTACAGTGAAATTCTAATAATATAGAAGGAATGATGGGAATAAATATATCAGCATTTAGCAAACAACCAAGTATTAATTGTTACAGGTAAGAATCATCAATGGAATCTAAAATTAATGGGAGAAAGTATGATGAAAACAGGATATATGCATAGTCTTAAAGCATCGCTCCCCAAGATACTTATCAGTTCCAATGGGAAAAAATAGTAACTCTGCAATAGAGAAACCCAGTAGACACCACCTCATCTAAGTGACCAAAAGTTACATCAACAGCAATGAGACATATTGACATCATGTACCGTCTGATATAATACACTGAGAAGGACACAATATCACTTCAGTGGAATTCCTGTCAAAAATGCACAAGCCAACTCTTACCATTCCCTAAGAAAACATCAGACAAACCCAAACTGGGGGAAATTCTACAAAATTATTGGTCAGAACTCTTGAAAAGTATTAAGTCATGAAAATTAGAGAAAGATTCCTCCAGACTAGATGAGACTAACAAAACATGGCAATTAAAAACTGTGTAGGATTCTGGATTGGATCTTGGATCCCCCAAAAAGACACTAGTAGGACAATTGGCAAAACTGGAATAACTTCTTTAGATTGGTTAATAGTATTATTGTATCAATGTCAATTTCTGGTTTCCACAATTGCACCACGGTTATGTAAAACAGTAACATTTGGGGAAACTATGTAAAGGGTACCTGAAAAATCGAAGTAGTGTTTTTGTAACTTTTTTCTAAGTCTAAAGTTATTTCAAATAAAAATTTAAAAAAATAAGTAAATGTAGTCTCTGCCCTAAAGGATTGACAAATCTGATAAAATACTGGCACACAGTTATGGCAGAACATATGGACACGAACACCAAAGAGATACTATATTCAATGAGAAGTGTTGTGGCTTTATGATGTACACAATTTTACTTCATTTTGAAATTTAAAATGTCATGACAAAGTGTTTCTGCAATATGCTACAGTATATCAAAAGATGAGGCTGGAATTAATCTGTGAAACTCAGTTTTACATTTGTTATAAACCTTAAGGCAGAAAAGAGATATGGTAATTATTATATGGGACACCTTGTAATAGTTAGGAAGAGGCAGCATGATTTAGTGATTTTAAAGACTATCTGGTGTTCCTCCTCAAATTATACTCACAGAAACAGAAATTTTTAAAAAAATACCCTGAAAACCCATGTCTTAGTAAACTATCTTTCTTAGACTCTTGACGTGGATCAAAATCAAAAGATGGTTTCTAAGCATCAATGAGAAAGAAATATTCTGGTATTGATGTTCGTCTGTACGTACAGAGGGGTTTTTTTGTTTGTTTGTTTTGTTTTTTGAGACGGTCTTGCTCCTGTCACCTGAGTAGAGTGCAGTGGTGTCATCATAGCTCACTGCAACCTCAAACTCCTGGGCTTAAGCGATCCTCCTGCCTTAGCCTCCCAAGTAGCTCGGACTACAGGCCTATGCTACCGCGCCTGGCTAATTTTTTCAATTTTTAGTAGAGATGGGGGTCTCGCTCTTGCTCAGACTGGTCTCAAAACCTCCTGACCTCAAGTGTTCTTCCCACTTGAGCCTCCCAGAGTGCCAGGATTATAGGCATGAGCCACCACGCCTGGTCTACAGAATGGAATATTCCTAGTGTTTAGTCTGGTCTTTGGACAGAAATTCTTACGAGTAGCCAGATTTTCACATGTGGCAATAAGCACATAAACACATTATGAAAAATTATCTTTGAAGATGATGTTGATTTTGCTTTTCCATCAGTAATGACCAGATTCTGTGAGGTCAATTCTGAATTCACTGCCCATGAAAAGCCTTTGGAAGGGAAGGGTTCTAGCAGTGTCTGTCCCCTCTCCCTAAGTGACCTGGTGAGTCTTCAGCAGACTCTCACCTTAGTAAAGGATTCCTCAAGTCCAGAATTAGTAAAATTTAAAATTAGCATGAACTGTGTGTCAAGAATCTCAGCTAGCTTTTTTTTTTTTTTGAGACAAAGTCTCACTCTGTTGCCCGGGCTAGAGTGCCGTGGTGTCATGCTAGCTCACAGCAACCTCAAACTGCGGGGCTCAAGCAATCCTCTTGCCTCAGGCTCCTGAGTAGCTGGGACTACAGGCATGCGCCACCATGCCCGACTAATTTTTTCTATATATTTTTAGTTGTCCAATTAATTTCTTTCTATTTTTAGTAGAGACGGGGTCTCGCTCTTGCTCAGGCTGGTTTCAAACTCCTGAGCTCAAACAATCCGCCCGCCTTGGCCTCCCAGAGAGCTAGGATTACAGGCGTGAGCCACTGCGCCCGACCCCTCAGCTAGCTTCTTTTTCACAGCTATCTCCCCAGTTCTATATACAGAAAACAAGAATCATCTGCCACGGGACCATTTTCTTCACTCTGCTTGAGTAACCACAGACTTGGGCATTTTGTGGCTCTCCTATTATTCACAGCATATAGGCAATGCTCTCTTGGCAGCTAAAACAACCCCTAAGGTCTTAACAGCATGTGAATTTATTACTCCACCCTTAAAGTTTTCAAAAATTTTACCCTAGATCTAGCACCAAAGGAGATAAAAATTTCACGTATTCATACAAAGAATAGATTTTCAAAAAGAATCAAGAATTGAAATTCCAAATATAAAGATTTTGACGAATCCTTCATTCATATTTATTCCGGCTCAGAAACCTTAACTGAACATATGGGTTTCCAAAATTAGTCATTATTTTTTGAAGAACTTGGCCCTTGACTGGACCTGATCTGAAAAACAACGAAAGTATATTAGGTTATCCGAGGACATTAGCCATCATGTTTTTCACTTGAAATAGCAAAATAA